CTCCCGCAGCCCGCGCAGGATGCGCCGGCTCGTGGACCGCCTGGAGCCCGGCGAGCTCATCCCTAACGGGCCCTTCTCCTTCTACGGAGGTGGGTAACGCGCTCCCCTCACCGACACCCCGTGGTGGGGTGTCCCCCCCCCCGGCCGCTCCGCGCGCTCGACAGCGGGGCCATCTCCCCACAACCGGGGTAATTTCTCCCCCTTGGGCCGTAACCGGGTTTCCTCGCCCCTCGGAGCCCGCCGGGGGTGGTTCCCCGCCCGCGTTGCCGTTACTGAGCCGCCGGCATTTTTGAACCCGGCCGTTTGATCTCGGTGTCTCATTCCGGGCTCCGTTGGAAGGGGATCCCCGGGAATCGGCCGGAGCCGCTGGCACGTTTTCCCCTTGGGGTTAGCGAGCTCTGGGTGCCATTTGGAGGCACCGCCGTTGAAGCACGCTCTCGTGTCTTTTCCACTCGGTTGCATTGCCTGTGCGTTACCTTCCCTCTGTTTCTCCTTGTCCACCAGATTATCAGAGCGAGTATTACGGCCCAGGAAGCAATTACGATTTCTTTCCGCAAGGACCTCCATCATCTCAAGCGCAGACCCCTGTGGATCTCCCATTCGTGCCCTCATCGGGGCCATCAGGCACCCCCCTGGGGGCCCTGGATCACCCCCTCCCCGGACATCACCCTTCCAGTGAGGCTCAGCGCTTCACTGACATCATGTCACACCCCCCAGGAGACTCGCCCAGCCCCGAACCCAACCTGCCCGGGTCCTTGCACTCCATGTCCGCAGAAGTTTTTGGCCCCAGTCCTCCTTTTTCTTCAATATCCGTCAACGGTGGTGCTAACTATGGCAATCACTTGTCCCATCCACCAGAAATGAACGAAGCAGCTGTGTGGTAGCTTTAAAACAAACTGGGTCTAAGTAAGTGATGATCATCTAGTCTGCTTATTGTTATGGTGTACAGAAATGAATAAATATAACATCTCTCCTGCCCTAAGACAATTTTACCTTGGGAATGAACTGAATCCAAATCGCTCCAAGGCAAGCTTTGCTCTAGACCAGGACAATCTTCCTGTTATGGTTGTATCAAACAAGCAAGGGGACTTTTTTTGTACCGTTGACAAAGAAACTGGTGAAGCTGTACAGTAAAGTGCTGCCATACTGTAGGATGGCATAAGTGTGATTGCCCTGTTGGATGTCATCCTAAGAGCCACAATCCTTAGAAACTTCTAATTTAAAAACAAACAAAAAAAAGTAATTAAAAAAAAATAATTGAATGAAGGAAAGGTCAAAGAAAAGGGGGAAAAAAGCTTCAAGAACTCTAGCGTTCCCGGTTAAGGATGGTTCTGGCATTACGAATTTGTTTGTTAATTTTTGTCTCTCAGAAAGTTCGACAACAAGAAACTCTTTTTAGCTTCAGCCATTTCAGCCTGCTGACTATCAGGTGGGACAACTTTCTTTTTTCCTTTCTTTTTGTTTTGTTTTCCAAAATAGCAAATACTAAATGTTAAGCCCTCAGCACCAACTCTTCTACCTTCACAAAGCTACTCGTACAAAACCTCCTCATCCTAGCAAAGGTCACCACCCAGACCTCTAACGAAAATGACTTGAAAAAAGCAAACAAACAAAAAGTATTCTACCTTCACAGAGAGAGAAAAGCTAAACAAAAAGACTCTATTGAACTAAAAACAGTCAACTGTTTACGTCTAATGTTAAATTCAGGAGTTCAATGTTTTACTAATAAATCCTGTTTTAGAACCTCTTGTTCAAAAGCAAAATATTTTGAGCAACCAACCAAAATAGTTCCTTTTCTTTTCTGTAGATGTTATAACAGATTGCAGGGCTTGTGGTTCACTGTGCTAGTTTGTAAAAGGTGTTGTTTACAGAAGGCAAAGAAAAAAACCCACGAAACCCAGACAGTTGCCAAATAAAGTAAATATATAGCACAAATACTGTAAGGTGCTTTGCACCAGCAACCCAAGAAGGTGTTTAAAAAGTGTTACAAGGTTAAAAAAACAAACAAACATATTTGCTAATTTTTAGTCCTGTTGAACATTCATGGAATTGTTAATATGACTTATATAGACCCACACAGGTTTTATTTTTGTGTCTTTAAAATGAAAGTCCAAAATATTTAAATTTTATGGTCAAATATGCAGTCAACAGCTGCTACTTTTTTCTTTATATATTAAATTTCTCATATGTCTTTTATTGTTCTAATAAACCTAAGCTTGTGTGACCTCCAGTGCATATTAGACCATTCACTGTATGAAAGAAAACATGTTGGATAAAATTTGTGCGTTTTTAATAAAATTAGAAAATCTGATGTTTAGATAACTCGTGTTTCATTTGATGTTTTAAGCAATTTTAAATGGATTCTCTCGAGTAAAATAGCCCTGAGAAAGACTGATCCACTCTGCTGATAATCCTGTCTAGCTCTTTTGCTCTGGTGGGAGCCTAAACCCTGGTGTCGATACAGATACCGGCAGCGGCAGCTCCAGCCTTTCTTTCCATCCGTTGTTGAAGTACAATTTAACTGTACACTATATTTCAAAATTGGAATCAAATTGTTAAATATATGAACCTATTCTTGGTCTATGCTGAAACAGATTCAGAATGCTTATTTTATGCAGAAACAAAAATGTATTGTAAAAAAAAAAAAAAAAAGGTGCAAAGATACAGTTTTTAATTGATCTGTTTTTTAGGGAAATTAATTCTCCAAAGGTAATTTCTAATGTTTTTTTCCTAATTGGATGGTTTGGAATCTCAGTGTTGTGAAAGTGATTTTAATCTTTTTTTAGAGCTGATACAAAGTCAATTGTTTAATAGCATTTGGTGTAGCTGGAGATCTCTGAAGGGCAGCGGGGAGAATATTGTGCTTTGCACTAGATATAGTGATTTTCTTGGAGAAAAATGAAGCAAAACAAAAAATTCCAGAACCTTGTGAAATGACAGATTTCATGTTTTAATTATAAATGATCGCAGAATCCCAAATATTCAGGTCTTGAAAAGGAAAGGTCTTACTGGTTCCAAGAGGACTTTGACCTGTGTTAGAAGCAGAGAATTAGGTTCGGTTCTGAAATTTGCTGGTTTAAGTGTTTTCCACCTACTGAGCTAATAGGATGTGATGAGCTATAATAATTGCATCTTTTCCTCCATCTCTCAACTACTCGTGACTCTGGCTTCTTTTTTATTTTCTGTAGATGCAGAAATTGACGCTAAACCACAGACTTCTACATTCCTAGCGATTCAGTTGTTTCTGTCTTTGGACTGAGGGGAAAGACAAAAATATCAAAATGCTTTAAAATTGTATGATTTGTAATTTTCAATGGTGATTTTTTTTTAAATTTTGTTCACAGCCTAGTTTCTATGCCCAGCAGAGGGGCCACCTAGATGAAGCAATAGTTCACTTTAAAACACAGAATGTCTTATATAATAATATAAAGTTAAAAACTATCTGCAAGGGATCTGTTAGTGTTTCTAAAAAAAATCATGCTTTATTAAATACTGGGGAGACTTCTTAAACTCCTGGGCTCCGTGTCTAACTCATTTCTTTGTCTTTTGTATTGTTGCCATGTTTTGTTGCTCTGTTTTGCCTTTATATAAGCAAAGTAATGGGGGATCTATTTATTACAAAGTTTTACTTATCTGGGCAAGTGCTATTGATAAATATTGCTGTTTGCACTTCTGGTCTGTGCTGCTGGTTTATTGTTGAATCAATTATTTTAAATGAGAATTTCACCAAATAGGCTTATTTTGTGGAAAATGTGTCTGCCAAGTGGTTGGGGCTTTTTTTCTGTTTTTCCTTTTTTGTTGTTGTTGTTGGTAAGGAGGTATTTTTACACTTTGTTCCCTGTTAATTTAGGCAGTGATATGGTTCAGATTAGGTCAGTGGTTTATAAAAGGCAGGGAGGAGAGCCTGTATTTTTTTCAACGCTCCCATCCCTTCCATAGGGGTTTTGCCCCTCTCTGGGAGGAGCCCAGGAGCTGTTCCCATGCTTAAGGCTCAGCGTGTCCTTCAGTGCTTCCCGGGATCCGCTCCGGAGGCCCCAGCACTTTGCAGATTTGAATTCTGTGCTCTTCAGAGTGAGCTGGGTGTTTCTGAAGACCCTAATCCACCAACAATTGCACAGTCAAAACTCCTTTTGAAATCATTGTCACGTTGGGTTCTTGTAAGTCCTTGTTTACAAGAGCATTTCCATTGACTTCAGCAGCCTTGCTTGGGTGAATAGAGGTCTGCAGGAGAAGGGCCTCAAAAAACATGTGCTGCTTGGGTGGATTTTACATGTACGTGTTAATTCCTTTAACTGCAGAGACGTGGACGTGCCACACGCATCTGCACGTGTGTGCGACGCAATTGCAAAAGCATTTCTAGAAGTAACGACTCTTTTCTGATCTTCCCTTCCTTGACTGCTGCTGGTTTCGGTGACCTTCACCTTGTGGCTGTGTCCCAGCAGAAGGTGCAGCCTGGGTGCTGCTCCCAGTTTGGGATGGTACCTGTGGCCTCGGCTGGGACGAGCAGCACGAGCCCTCCCAGCACAGACCAGGGAGGCTCCATGTTTGAATGTACGAGACCGGCAGCCTGTGCAAACCCCACCTGTCAGACCACTCTCCTCCAAGACAAACATAGTAAGTATTATTAATGAGCTAATCTATCTGAAGGAGACATTTTGAAGGCTGCTTAAAGTCTCTGTGAAGTGTTGTGAGTTTCCAGCATCCAAACAAGTCCACTTTTGGCCCAAAGGGTCCTTCCCACCCCATGCTGCCACCATGCTATGCTCTCCCTGCCCTTCCCCTTCAGCCTTGGGCACTGCTGGTGTCTGATCACTCAGGCCTGTGCCTGGGGAATGGTGCAGAATTTGGAAAGGTCTGTATCCCAGGAGTAAGAAGGTACTTAAATTACAATTTTCAGAAAAATTCTATGTATTATTTTAATATATGTATGTGTACCCAGATGCTGAGCGATGGGTACATGATACAAATCTATAAATAAATATGCTTTAAAAATATCAGTGATGATTTACATGCTTTTGCCATCCTAGGAAGTGGCAGATGTTGCAGTGTCCTCTCAGGAATGATTCCTTTTGCCATGGTCTGGATTTTTTTCCCTGAACAGGAGTGTTGTATTTAAGCTTTGCATGTTCTTACAGTATCCAATATAAGCATTTGCAGCCTTCCTTTCTGTTACTACCCTGGTAGATAAATTCACATATATTAAGATTAAGCAATTGCAACATATCCTTAAACGTGGCTGATGTTCACTTATCTGGGATCAGGGAATTAGGATGCTGGAGCAGGTTCTGGAAGGGCTTTTCTTTGTGTCTGCCATGGCATGGGGTGCTTAGCTTTCTTCATGCCAACAAAATACCCATGAAGTTATAAATGAAATTAAAGGGACCATTATAAATATATCTGGGTTATAAATCCTTCTGGGATTGCTATCTTCTGTTTCTTTGTCAATAGCATTTGTGGTGCTTTTAGCTCTCGAGCAGGGGGTGATGCTTAGGAAGTGGAGATTTTTGTTGTCTGGAGAATTTTTAATCCCCTAAATGCAGAATTGTGATGCAGAAACTCCAGAATTAACGTGGCCTCACAGTGAGGTGACCTTCAGCTGCCCTCATCTCTGTGCTGGGGTGACTGTGAGTGGAGGGGTACGGCTGCTCGGAGGGCTTCTCATCTTCCTGTAGTGTTGTCACCATTTGTGCCTGGGATGGCTGCCCCTGCTGCACATCCTGCTTTTATTGTGTGGGTGATGGTTGGGATCTTGGAACATCCCCTGCCCCTGCACAGGCTCCTGGGGCTGGGCCGCAGCTGCTGTCCTGTCAGTCTTTGGGTACAGGCTGTCTTCAAACTCAGGAACAGCTCCATCTCAATGACATTTGGTGCACAGTTTCCAGAACATTTTTGGAAACGTTAAGAATGAGATGTTTTGTGTTTTTTTTCTTTTCTGGATTGGTTTTAATACCAGCTTGTTTCCAGCAGAACATGAGCCTTTAGAGAGGCTGGCGGTGTCTCCCATGGTTTGGGATGAAATCCTCAACTCTGCTCACCAAGGATGGCAGGGCAGGTCTTGTGGGATTTTGTGGAAAGGTCCCTGTATGGTGTGAGCATTGTCATGCAGCACAGATGAGCTGGAAAACAGGTCCAGAC